CCATGCGCTCCGTCAGCTACGTGCAGTGCGTGGCGCTCGAGTTCGGCGGCAGCCTCTTCCCGCACGCCATCTGCCTCGGGGACGCCGACAACGACACGGTGCGGGCGGGCGCTGCGTGGGACGGCGGCCAGGCCGGTCCCGGGAGTGCAGAGCCGGAGAGGGGGAGGCAGCCGGCGCGTTAACGGGCCGGGCAGCCCTGCCGCGGTGGGAGCTTTTGCTTCCAAAGGGAGTCCCAGCGCGGGAGGGGATGTGGGGCCGGGGCTGGACACAGCGAGGCGGCTGCGGGGACCAGCGCCGGGCCCCTGAGCCCGCCAGGCTGCACCCCTGGGGGCCTTGGTTTGGCGGTGACTCCAGCAGGTCATGACGCCCTCCCTTTGCCTCAAAAGGCAAGTTCCCACACCAGCAATCCTGAAAACTGCAGCGGCCAGCAGCACGCTGGGCAGGAAAGCAGTTCTTCCCGTTAGGATTAGCGTAACGGTTGGGGGAACGTATGCAAGGACCTGTGCAAAATTTGCATGTGCAGAGACACGGTGTGGAGGATGGAGAAGCTGCAGAAGGCTGGTAAGCTGGGCGAGATGCTGCCTTTCCAGCAGCCCTCTTTCCAGAATAGGCCACGGCTGTGCAAGATCTCAGCCACGCTGTGAGCGAGACAGCAAAGTGGTGTGAGCCTGGCTGGGAGCGCCCCCGCCGCTCCCCACGCTGTGGTCGCGTTGGCCTCGTCGCCATCGGTGTCCTCGGAAGAATCGAGACAGATCAATCCAGGCTGAAGTCTCCTGCCCTAGAGAGCTTCAAATGCCACTCGGACGCTCCCTGTGCCGTGTGCCCCAAGTGCCCCTGCTTGGGTAAGGGGCTGGGCTGGGGGATCTCCAGAGGTCCCTTCCAACCTGAAGGATTCTGTGGAGAGTGGAAGGTGGGGTAGTGATGGGGTTATCAGAGCAGAACATTTAGTGATTGGTGATAGAGCTCGGAAACACTGGCTTAAGAACTGCATAATATGGATTTGTTGCGAGGGGCTCTAAGAGTCTCCTACCTTTTTAAACTATTACAATAAAATCATGTTGGTGGGGTTCTTTTTTTCTGTATATTCTCTGTTGATTCATAGCTCTTTGTATTTGTTTCACTTTGCTGCTGCTTGCCACAGCATGATTTTAGATGGGAATCTTGCAATTCCTGCCAAGCTAGGAATGTTATGTTGCTCCGTACCTTTCTTCTTACAAACCCTGTTCTCTCGTCCAGCTGAACGAGCTAGTGGTGGGGGACACCAATGGGAAGCTCTACGTGTACAAGAATGATGACAGCAAACCCTGGACTGTGCGATCCTGCCAAGGAATGGTCAGTTACAGGCAAAGTGTTAAAATGGGCTGTGCCTTTTGATTTGTGTGCAGCCTGCCCTCGTTGACTGTTAGACTATTAAAGCTTCCTTTTTTTTCCCTCCCTGCAGCTCACATGTGTTGGAGTGGGAGACGTATGCAATAAAGGCAAGGTGAGACGTATGGAGAGGCAAGTGAGAGACGTATGCAAAAAAGGCCCTTACTGGTCACCAGGCCTGCCTGCCTGAGCCCTGGAAGGCTTCGGTGCTTTGGGGGTTCTTATGTTCCCCAGTGGATTTTGAGCTGCTCTGTTGTGGACCCTTCTGCCATTTGGCTCTATGCATTTAAGGTCAACGAAGCAGAACTGAGACACAGAAAGTCCAGACTCTCAAGCAAATTTGGTGTGTCTAATGTGACTTTTTTTTGATGGTTATTTCTGGGATTAATAGTAGGGCTATTGGGTCCAAAGTTGCCAAGTTTAGGCGCCCCACCGGTTATACTGTTGCTCTCTCTGCTCCAGACAGCAGTGGAGTGGAAACGAGGCTTGAGAAAGCCATACATTGTGTGGGGACTGCACGTGCAGGGTCAGCCTGCAGAGAGGGATGAACAAGAACTGCAGGCTGCGAGCAGTTTGCATACTGGCTGGAATCTTCACCCTTTCCTCCGTAGCACATCTTGATCTTGAGGAATACACCCTCACTTCTTCCGTTATCTTGCGGGGGGGACGGCTTCTAAAAGGAATAATCAGAAGATGTTTCCCTTCCCCCCCAGAACCTTGTGGTGGCCGTGAGTGCCGAGGGCTGGTTTCATCTTTTTGACCTGAGTTCTCCAGCTGCAAAACACCCAGATGCCTCCGGCCACCACGAATTGGTGGCAGCAGCAGAGGAGCAGAAGCCCGTGTTCAAGCAGCACATTCCTGCCAACACCAAGGTCATGCTGATCAGTGACATTGGTGAGCACCACAGCACGGGTGGGAGTGCAGGGGGAGGCAGTTTGTGGGTGCAAGGTGGCAGGGGAGGACAGAGGAGGTCACAGGGAGGGTGTCAGGGTGCAGAAGGAGGTGACCTGCTGGAGAAGCAGTCGCTCTAGCAAATGTAGCCAAGTACTTGAGGGAGAGGAGTGAGAACTTCAAGGCTCATCCTGCAGAACTGGGTTCCTCTGAGATGCCATCTCGTAGACACCTCACGCTGTGGTTTCTGAATGTTGGGAGTGTGGGCCTGCGAAAACCTGAGAGCTTTTCTCATCCATCTCTCCCTGTCTCCTGCAGATGGAGACGGGAAGTGCGAGTTGGTGGTGGGTTACACTGACAGGGTGGTGCGGGCCTTCCGCTGGGAGGACTTGTCTGACAGCCCCGACCACGTCTCAGGACAGCTGCTCCTGCTGAAGAAATGGCTTCTGGAAGGTCAGGTAGGAAACAGAATACTTGGAGCAGAACAAGCCAAGTACAGTGTTCATGGGGTTTCTCAACTTAAGGGGTATAAAATCTCAGTCCTGTGAGCAAAGAATTTATTTTTTTGTTTGGAGAGGGGTTGGCTTGAAAGGAAATTTTCCCAGCAGTTGTCCTGTGTATGCAGAGCAGCTGGTTGGGGTGGCCGGGGAAACAGTCATCAGCTCTCACAGGACTCTTGAGAGCCTTTTTCCCCTGGGTTGTTCTTAGGTGACTTTTGGTAGGAGAAGATCCTTTTACTGTAATTTAGGTATTTTGCCTGTCTGGGTAAGTTTGTTCCTCTCCTGCTGATGATTTCTAGCAGAAAATCTGTCACCTCTAAATTTTGATACTCTACAACAGTGGAGTCCTTGGAGGTGTGTGAAGTTCTCCATTTGACTCGGTGTTTTTCCTGGGCTGTTACAGGTGGACAGCTTGTCTGTGAACCCGGGCCCTGACGGCTCCCCCGAGCTGATGGTTTCTCAGCCTGGCTGTGGTTATGCTGTTCTGCTGTGCACCTGGGACTCGGAGCAGCAGCCCACGCCAGAGGGAAGGGACAGCTCTGCCCCAGGCAGGTGAGCTGCATTTCTCCAAGGGTTTGCAGGGAGATTCTACTCTGCAGGCCTCTCACAAGGAAACACCATCACGTCAAGGGGCTGGGCAGAGTGGGGGCTGCAGTTCACATTCAAGGTCTTGCTCTGCTGCTGGGAGTCTGTGACTTGTCCCAGTCCGTTCAGGTCACCTGCACCCTGTGGACTCCTTTGGATACGTTCATCACGGACGCATGCAGCTTTCCCTGCCTCTTGCTCTTTACTCTCTGGGTTGCGTGAGGAAAGTGGTAGGACCAGTTTGCCAAGGCAAGGCAATATCCAGGGCTAAGGCAGGACCGAGAGCAGCTTGTATCTCCAGAGGAAGAGGAGCAGGTAACACGGGGACCTGCCAAAGTGGTGACTGGTGACTCTCAGCTGGACTAAGACCAGTGAGTCAGAAGCCCTGGGAAAACACTGTGGGTTCCCTGTTTTTTTGCAGATGTGGTAGTTGGAGGTTTTCCTAATGAGCCCCCTGGCAAGTGCTGTAAATGAAAAGCCAAGTAGGATGAGAAAGGAGGTTATTGTCCTTGTTGAGATCTTCTGGGAGACCTTAAGGCTGCCCCAGGAAACTGAAGTAGGAGGGGATTTATCAGTGGGCAGCAGCTTTGCTCTGAGCTGTGTGGCAAAGAGCTGGAGGCTATGGCAGGGTCCTGGGGCAAATCTTGGTTTGTTAGAGACATTACTAGACCCAGTACTCATTTAGCCTGGACCCAGGCACATGAACCTGTCCTACTCCAGTCACATGTTTTTCCTGAGTGAAAGGCAGCCAGGATTCCATAAAAGTCATGGTAAGAATCACTCTTCTTCCCTTAGTTGGAATAAATATTTTTTTCACTGCCTGATTTTTGAACTTTTAAGCTTTCTCATACCTAAAATCACTGCTTTGTTTTTGAAACCTCAGCAAGTTCCTTTCATGCTCAGGGAGATGCCTTTTTCTCCCTAGTTTCTATCAGCAAGCAATCCCTCAGCCAGAAGTATCTCCTCTGTGAGCCTTCGCTGGCGAGTCCCCCTCGCTAGCCAGGCTCACTGTGCGCAGGCTCCAGGCACCCGTGGCCTTGGGAGGCTCTGGGCCGGCCCCTGGTGTGATGCCCGTCTCTCTGCTCCCCAGGGAGGCTCCCGTGCGAGATGTTGTTCTCCACCAGACGTCTGGTCGGATCCACAACAAGAACGTTTCCACTCACCTGATCGGTAGCATTGGCAGAGGTGAGAGGTGGGGAGCCTTGGGCTCGGACCTAGCAGCTGTGCCTAGCAGAGCTTGCCAGTGCGTCCAGCCTCAAACTGGATTTCCTGTGGTAGGAAATTAACAACCCAGGGAGGCAGACACAAGGACGGAGGTTGCTCTTAGCCTTCCCCCAGCGTAGCAGCCCCTCTGCAGCCCCCACTGCAGAGGAGTTTTCTCCTGCTGCTCCCACCAGCAGCCTTGACCTTTGTGTGGCTACAGCCTGGGCCCTGTTTTTTACTCCTGAGATGCAGAGATCTCCTCTGCACAAGCCCCATCTTCACACTTGTTTTTGTGCTTCGCCATGCTTGGTTCCTGATGCCTGGTCTGAGAGCTGTGTCCTGCTTTGTCCTTACCCATGTAATCCCAATCCCTGTGGGGCTGCCCCTCTGTTTCAGTGTGTGCTCTCTCCAGCCAGTGTATTCTGCTCAGGTGTTGTGCCTAAACTCTGCACAGCTGCTTCCTCCTGTTGGCCCTTGCACACTCAGGTTGTTATTCAGACATTTCTTATGTACTGCCAACACTTCCCTAGAGCAACCGCTTTGTGCTCTGACTTGTGCCTAGTGTCACCATCTGCACCCTGTCCTGGCAGTTACGGAGAATGTAGGGCCCTCACTCCTCCCTGGAGCGTGTGGGGTTAATGCAGAGGGGCAGCAGATTCCCAGTGCAGGCCGCCTTCATTCCCTGTCTGCAGCTGGCTGGGGTCCAGCTGCACTTACCCTGTTGGAGGGTTAATTCTGCAGCACTGTCTGAGGAGGGTTTAGGCTCTGCTCTCGAGCTGGAGCTGGGGGAGATGGGCAGCCCTCCAGACCCAGCCCTGCCCCACGGCACGCACAGTATCTTGTCCTCCCCGGTGCCTCCCCATGGCTCTTGCTCAGCCTGTGGTTTTCTGCATCTCAGTTGCCACTAGAACATCATGGGCATCACGGCATGAAATTAATTATGTCACTGCATGCAAAATGTCATACCTAATCAGGAGAGCTAACAAAACAATGGAGGGCCATGGAAGAAAGGGTGAGGGAAGGGTGGGAAGAGCCTCTTGTGCTGGACCACCAGCAGTGGAACAGCTGGAGTGCTATTGTGCCCAGGCTATAAAGAGGGCACTGCACATCTCTTTAATCACGGCCTCGCTGGAGGAATGTCAGTGAGGCACAAAAGCAGCTGACAGTTTTTGTAAAGATGACCAGCAGAAATAGGGTAGATCCTGTCACGGGAGGGTACAGGGTGTAGTAGCCTCGAGCTGGTCGTGGGCAGCTGAAGCAGGTTTGAAGAACTGTGTCCCTCTGGGGAGGAAGCCCCTTGGCCTTCAGCTCTGCTGTATTGTCCCATCACTGACAGGTTTGCTGCATTCCTACAGACTGTGGGGACCCTCCTGTCCCTCCCTGGGTCGGTTCTGTCACAGTGTCACAAAGGGAATTATTTGGAGCTGTGGGGGAACATAGCTGCAGTGCTCCTCCTGCCAAGTGCAGCATGCTTCCCAAACCTAACCTTGTATGTCCTTTCTGTCTGCTTGCTAGGGAGGAGTGTGCAGGAGGGCTGGAGTAACCTGGGTCCAAGGGAGTGTTCTTGTTACGTTTAACTAGTCACCCAAGCCAGTGCTGTTCTGCACACAAGCGTGTGGTGTACAGGCTTTGGAAAGGACACTGTCTACAGGAGGTTCATGGCCAAAGGGGCATGGCCCAGGAAAGCCAGGGGCGAGTAGGCAGATGAACATGAAAGCAGGTGTCCAGTCTGTTCAGCAAGCAAGGCCTGTGTAGCATCTGTGCAAAGTTCACTACGAGGAGACTGCAGCTTCTGCACAGTTCTGCTCTAGTTACAGTAGTAGAGCTGGTAGTGTGGATCTTGGAGCCTTTTTACACACACTCGTTTAGGATTTGTCATGGAGGGGCTTGTGTGCTAACGTGACTAATACTTGGTCCCCCTTGATGGAGTCTGTCCTCATTCCCTTGTTCCTTCCTCAGATGGCTGAAGGCTCCACTGCCATCTTTGGAAGATGCTCAGGGTAAAGTTGTAAAGCTCTGTTTGGCTTCAGCTGTTCTCTGCTGTGTCCCTCATGATGCTCCTGCCGGTGCATTTCTGGGGACTAGAGGGGATGTAATGAAGTCCACTAAAACCAGAACCACCAGGGCCCTACAGCAGGTGCTTCTATGGCAGAGAGGTTCCTAGGAGCAGCCAGTAGAACCAGAGAGGCCTAACGAAAAGTTCTTGTGTTTTGAGAATCACAGATAAAAACCCTCAGGAAGTAGGGTTACCTGTAAGACTGGGCAGTTCTCTGTTAGGAAGCGTCAGAACTGGGCAGAGAACAAGGGGGAAGGGGTCAGCTTACTTCCCCAGGAGAGGGGGGGGACAAGACTCCTAGAGAAGGCATCAGCTCATGTAATTCTCTTCTGCATTTGCAGGCTGCTCCAGTGCAAACAGTGGCTCGGGCCTCTTTGCCCTCTGTACTCTAGATGGTAAGTCCGTCTGCTGTGCTGGGGGAGAGCCCTGTGGGGCAGCCAAGGCCTGTCTCTCTGGCTGGTCGTGTGGGCAGAGTGGGTAGGAGGGAGCAGGAGGGAAGTGTCCAGTATAGCTGTAGCCACCCCTGTATGACCAGGGGGACGTGGCAAGGAGCTTCTGCTTTGAGTGCTGTCTGATGGGAGATCTGCTGCTGTACTGTATTCTGGGAGCCCATTTGGGGCAGGCTGCTTCCTGCCTTGGAGTGCAGTCTAACTAGCAGTGGCCTCCGCAGTTTTTCTTCTCAGTCTCTGGCTCCTACTGTCAAGAAAATGCTGTCAGCCACAGCTTGGACTACGGGATTCACTACATCTGAAGACCTTGAGAACAGAGGGAATTTTCAGGGCCCAGTGCTAGGGGATATCTTGCTCCTTCTTAATGTTTTTAAGACAGTTTTTTTCCCCTCCTTCAGGGACTCTGAAACTCATGGAGGGGGCGGATAAACTTCTCTGGTCGGTGCAGGTCGATCACCAGTTGTTTGCTCTGGAAAAGCTGGATGTTACTGTGAGTGTCTCATGTTAATGGGGTGGAGGAGCAAAATCTCTTTGGAGATTTTGGGATTGCACGTGAACGTAGGAGCGCCTGAGGAAGTCTCAGCTAAAGTCTGCTGGGATTGTCCCAGGATGGCATCAGTGGAGCTCTTACTATCCCAGGGCGTTTCCTCAGGTTGCAGTCCTGTCACATCAGTCCATCCACCTGCAAGAGGTTGGGCTGTGTTGTCTGTTTGGCCTGGTGGTTTTGCTCAGTGCTGTTATACCTGGTTGTCTACAAGCTCTTAGGATCCATGAGTACTAGGATAGGGAAGAGAGAGATGGCACGAAGCTATACAAGATGCCTGCTTCAGTTAATGTTCTGTTTCTGAGCTCTGTTGAATTTTAGTATCCTTTCAGGGAGAATCTTGGGCCAGAAACCATCTAGACTTTCAGAAAGAAGGCAAGGAGGGGAAGTGACACAAGCTTTTCTACATCAGCACATTTCCTAGAAGACATGGTTTGGGCATTGCTGTCTTGTTTTTATTTATTTATTTATCTTTCTTTTCCTTTTTTTTTTCTTTCTTCCCTCTATCACAAGTCCATTTTCTCTTAGGCTGCTTAATAAAGTTAAGGGAGAAAAGTAAAACAAGGAAAACTTCATACAGCTCATACGACATACGTGTGGCTTTAGGGGAGAGAAGATTCAGGGTGCTGGGGGAGGACAGAGTATATTCCACCCATTTGCTGGGAAACTTATATTTTTTAATGCATTTGGCAGCAACCAGTGTTAGACCCAGAGTTCCATATCCTCTGTGGGATGGAACAGTTGGATTTGGGATTCTGTTCCCCCATGTTTTCTACTGTCCTTGCCTACTTGTGGTCTCGCGTCCCAGCCTATCACACAAACATACCGATGCCTTTATCCGCACTGAGCACGTCCTAGAGCAGTGTGCCAGAACAGAGGTTCCTCCCTCCAAGCAGGAAGGGCTCCCGTGTGCCCCTGGGAGCAGCAGGAGCGGGTGCTAATGGGGGCTCTTACGGCTCCTGCAGGGCAACGGGTGCGAGGAGGTGGTCGCCTGTGCGTGGGACGGCCAGACCTACATCATCGACCACAACCGGACCGTGGCCAGGTTCCAGGCGGATGAGAACGTCAGCGCCTTCTGTGCAGGTGGGCAGCGGGGCTGCACAGCACCTCTCCCCTCACAGCACTTCTCCCTCCAAGCTAATGTTCTTCCCTGGGAGACCTGAGACCCCTGGAGTGCCTGCAGGGGGAATAGTTGTGCTGGGGTTCTCCTGTATGCTGCAGTGCTCCAAGATAGTCTTTCCTCTGGTAGCCTCTGGGAACAGGAGTGGGGAAAGAGGGTGATGCTGTGTGGTGTCTGTCATGGAGAATAGGGGTTGGTTGGTTGGTTAGTTTTCTTCTGTCCCGTTGGGGAGCATTCAGGTCATTTTTTGTCTTTACTGCTGCTTTTCAAGTTTGCAAACTACTAAGCTGATGCCAGTAGACATATGGAGCCCTATATATGGAGACCTTTGGGTTTGCTCTCAAACCTGTGAAAAGCAGCATGCAAATTCCCAGGCTCCATGCATTCATCCCGCCATTCCAGAGACACTGGCCTGTCTGACTTGTAGGCATCTCCTGCCTTATCTCAGAGAGCCTTCCATAGTCAAGTTCCTGTCTCTGCTACTCAGCCTGGCTGCTCCCAAGAAGGCAGCAGCTTTAGTAGCACAGCATGCAAAGCTGCCTATTTAATTTCACTCTTGGTTCAGCAGCTCCATCCTTTTGCTTGCTTTAGGCCTCTACGCATGCAAAGGAGGAAGCAACAGCCCATGCCTCGTTTATGTCAGCTTCAGTCAGAAGATCTACATCTATTGGGATGTGCAGCTGGAGAGAATGGAGTCCACCAACCTGCTGAAAATCCTGGAGAGCGACCCAGAGTTTGGAGAGCTCCTGCAGCAGCTGGGTGTGGGTAAGTGCAGAAAGGGAGAGGGTTGGGCAGGAAAAATAAAAGTGAGAAATGGCTCTTGGCAGGCAGCATCCTGGGAACTAGAATTTCACATACTTCTCATCAAGGAGACTAATCTACTACCTGATGAGGATCTCTACCAATCATCTTTCTCTCTTCTTTTTCTAGAAAGAAGTGACGTTTCTTCTGTCAAAGATTTGATTCACAAAACTCTGTATTTTCCTGAGAAACACCAGCTGATCAGCCCCACACAGTGCCAAGACCTGCCATAGATTCTTCTGCCCACCACACTAACATCCATTGCCCCTTAAAACCTTTCGTGGCTTCAGGGAGTGCTTGCCTGTTGAGGCATGGTGCCAAGTGGATGTGTGTAGCTGAGGAAGCTACGAGGACAGCAGGAGTCCGGAGTTCTGCTCGTTGGCCTTCCATTGCCTATTTCCATATTCCTGACTATCCAAAGTCCTTTTTGGGGCGACTGTAGATGAGCTCTGAGGACACAGGGAGAGTAGATCCAAGCTTAGTGCTGCTTTTGGCCTGTTCTTAGAGGTGCTATGGTGATAACGTCAGAGTTCCTAGTGGGCTCATAGCACAGGAGTTGCAGGTTGAGACCTTGAATTGGGCATCAGGAAAGGGCTTCCCACTTCTGTCCTGCACAGATGAGCTGCTTCAGCAGAGGCAGGAATTGTTTGCGTTTGTTGTGGTGCTCCCCTCCAGCCAAGCTGAGTTGCTCACAAGCTGCCCTCTGTTCTGAGCATCTTGGGAACACGTGTGAGAACCACAGCTCGCGCTGCTGACTTGCCAAGGGCTATCCAAGCTCCAAGGAAGCCCAGCTGTTCTCAAGAAGCATTGCTTGCCTTCATCCCCTTGGGCAGAGAGACCCCAGAGGTGGTTGTGGCTTAGCAAAGTAACTGTAAACTGGGCAATAAAAGGAATTTGTCTTAACTGTGGATCTCTGCTGCAGTGATAGCTCGTCCGTTTCATAAAAAGCAGTGGGAATGTCATGCTTCCCTCTGGCTGTGGAAAGTTCCATCGCTCTTTTGAATCCTACACAACGGTTTGGCCAGTGCTGATGCTCCCCCTGCTCAAATGCAGAGGATGGAGGAGGCCCTGGCCTGCAAAGCCAGGAGCTCTGCCACATGCAGCAGGTGTTCAGCCCATCCCCACCTCAGCCTCAGGCATGCCTGTCATCAGTTATTGGGACAGGAGCAGCATGGTCACCTGCTGCGTTGCCACCATCACCTCCTTCTGTCATTTATGGGATGTCCTGTTGAACAAGCACGATGGACGGAGCTCTCCTTTCACCCGCACGATAGCCTGGGAAGGCTGGATCCAAGTCAGGGCAAATATAAATAATTCAGTGATCTCTCTTTAGCAGGTGAGAACGCTTGAGGATATTGCAGTGTGTTCACAGTTGCTGTGCCGTGCTCTGCAGAACAGAGCTGCAGATGGAGATGAGGGCTGCAGTGCTTGAACTCTGCCGGCTTTGGGGAGTTGGCAGCATCTCTTGGAGGGCTAAAGCAAGGAACTGCCTCTGGGCCTGTAGCCTTGGGAAATTCTGCCAGCTGTTTTGATGCTGGGATGTAAAGCCCGCAGTCCAAGAGGGCCTCTACTACATAACATAGTGCTCTTACCAGTCTTGCTCTACTTTCCTCATGAAAATGAGATCTCGTAGGTCTCGGTACATTGCTTTCCTGCTATTTCTAGGTATTTGTTCCCCCAAAACCTAGAGCTGCTGCTCTGATGACGAGAACAAGTGATAATTCTCTCCCCTCTCTCCCCAAGAATTTCAGGTGAAGTAGCAGCAGCTACTGTCCTTGTCTCCCTCCCGGGAGCCCTGGCAACCCAGCTGAGCTGGGAAGGAGCAGGCGTGTCTGCCCATGGGTGAACACTTAGGTTGCACCATGGTCTGAGGTGTTTTCTCCCTAACCCTGTTGCTCCCTGGTTTAGTTTCACGCTTCACAACGAGTGGAACTGACACCAAGAAGGACCACAGTAGAGCAGGGCTGAGTAGAGCAAATTTCCTGAAGTCTCGTTATGGAAGTTTTGATTCAGTCTTCCAGCCTGAACCCAGCCTGCTGCCCTTTCTCTGCTTTGGGAAGCAGGATGCTTATGGGCAATACAACGTAGAAATGCCAGGATTTTCAGTCCTGGTTTGCACAATCTGGCCCATGAAGCACTGCTTAGAATACGAGCTCTCCTGCTGCTTGTGCCGTCAAGCTGGGTAGGACTGTGGGGAGCCTTCCCGCAGTGGGTGCCTGCTGTGGCTCTGCTTAGCATCTTGTTTGCTCTTGGTAGGGCAGGCGTTCTCCCCAGAAATACTTTCTCTCATCATCTCCTGCTGGGATTTAAGAGCCCCATCAATTGTGTGAAGCACTTTGTTTGCCTGAGAGGCCTGGCTGAACTCCTCTGGCAGCTGGGCTTCCAGCTATTGCAGTTCTGCTGCTGCATTGTAAATCTCTCCTGAGCCCAAGCAGCAAAAGAGAATTGTCTATGCTGGTAACAGAACAACTCAGTGCTGTCCATGCCCAATGGAAACATTTATTAGCAACACAAGCACAAAGAGGCGGTACAAATGGTTGTATGACTGGAACTTCTTCATACAAAACAGACTTTGCCACACAGGTCAAAAGATTTGCAAGGAAGAAAGGAAGGTCAAATTGATCCATTGTTAGTGCAAGAGAGAGGACATTTTTCTAGGAACCATCTCTGCAAAAGAAAAGGGGCAAAAACACACGTGCCTTGGGCAGGGCAAGCAGAAGCCATGCAGCCCAGCCCTTTTCTGTTGGCCCCAGGTTAATGTTGCTGTGCACCATGCAAGCTCTGGCCTGCTGCACTGCGGGGAGCAGAGCTGAGAAGATACTGACACTACAGAACATCTGATCCTCAAGCTCTACAGCTCTTGAAACAATTGCAGAGAGAAAATAGCAGTGCCTCAGGGCTCCTTGCTAACAGCTCTGTTTCCCTTGTAGTACTTAGACTTGCAGATGCGCTTTGCTCCCATAAACACAAAAGAAAAAGATGAGACCTGTTCTTGCAAATTATATTATGACTTTTGTCCCACTCCTTTCTGCAGCTTGGCCGCCCACTCTGAGCCTGAGCTGATGCGGCTCCTTCTCTGGAGACCTGGGTTCACTTCATTATAGTTCAATGGTAGCTTAATGCCTCTGTATCCTGCACAGCCAACACACTCCAAAGAGGTGGAACTAGGAGTTGTTCCTTCCTCTGCAGTAACGAGCAGCGTTTACTGCATCCCACTGAGTGGGAGGTCAGCAGACCCAGTGGTTGCTGGAAGCTCTGCCCTGGGGCAGGACTTGCCCCAGATGCCTTTCCGTGTATGAGGGACTGTGCAGAAGAAGAGTCCACCCGAGCTGTCCGTGCAGGTGTTTCAGGATAAGCGGCTTGCAGCTCTGGCTTTCAATTTACTAGCAAATAAATGAAGGGGTTTATTTTAATATCCTGAGAGACAATAAACCTATTGTCCATCCCTGCTCTGACTGTTACAGAGGCTTTGGTAGGTGCCATCATTTCCATTACTCGCCAGGTATAGCCTGGCATTTGCTGGTTGAATTTCTTGCAGAGGAGGACTGCAAATCTATTTAGGCAGCTGAAGAGTCTTCAGTTCTGTAACTCGCCCTGTAGCGGTGAGAGGAGTCGGCCTCTGGCATGATGGCTGGCAGAAGTTCCTGCTCCTTTCAAAGGCCACGTGTCCCCCAGGCTTGGCAAGGCAAATGAGGTGGTTATGGCTTCAGGAAGGTGCATGTGCCTGGGATGAGTTTGTTCTTGCACACAGGCCTTGGAAAGGGCCCCACAAAATCTCATAGTCAATCTATGCATCTCAGGGCAAGTTCAGCCATCCCCATCTCATACCCAGCACATGCTTGTCTGACTGTTTCTAAGCCTTGCTGTGAGACACTCTTCCTTCTGTCACTGTTTCAGGGCTGCTCTGTCCACGCTGCTGGAAAGCAGCCCTCGTAGGAGCTGACCAACATGCAGGTTCAGAGACATTCTCCCTAAAATGGTAACGTACTATTGCCCATCTCAAAGGATTGGGCTACCTTAAAAAGATGGAATTCAACACACAGAAGATGTAGCTGATGTAGCTGTGTCCTGCTTTAGGACAGCAGTTACTACTAAACTTCTACCTTCCATGTGAAAGCTTTGGCTTTTTTTGGTTCTCTAGGGGAAAAGACCTTGGCCCAGTAACCTACTCCCACCCCTCACCCCCCCAAAAAAAATCTGGGGTGTCTTATGGGCACAGAAATCTCATTTAGTCACAGCTTTTTCTGTAAACTCCTGTAAATTATAACCTCCTGTAAGCCTTATTGCCTGCAATAAAGATTGATGGGTGATGTTGCAAGATAACTGGTTCCAACAGGTTCCTCAACATTCGGGAGGAAAGTTCTTTACTGAGGAACCTGGATATGCAGCTGATGTGGCAGAGGGAGGGTGAAGAACATGGCTCGTGCTCCAGAGCTGATTTCCCATTTGGCTGTAATAGCTGCCCCACACTGGCTTAGCACTTGCTGGAAATGTCCTTTCTGTGCCTGGGAAACAGTGCAGTCTTCATTCAGATATGCAGTTATTAAGAGCAAAGAGGACAGGTTGGCAAAACGTGGCAGAATGTAAGAGAGCATTAGCAATCTGTGACTATGAAACTTTTTAAAAAGATTATTTAAGGAAGGGAAAGACTCCTTTTGGAAAGAGCAAACTTGTTACTTAGCAGTGTGGGAGAGTGAATGATTCACTTGGGCAGAGATAGAGAGGCTGCCAAGAGGGATTCATTATGCAGAGAGCAGAGGAGGAGATAGGCAGAGAAGGGCATTTCCCCCTGCAAGAGCACACTTCTTAATAGAGAAACCTGAACTTCTAATGATACATGAACTGTGGCACGTGAAGCACAGAAAGGACTGGAGGGTGTTCTGAAGACGAGCAAATAAAAGGGAGCCTGCAAAGCCTGATGTGTGGGAACGAAATCCGAGCGCAGCTCGTGTGCAAGCACCTGCAGGGCTCTGAGTCAAAATGGGGGTGACAACTCAGCGTCATGCCAGCTTCCTCTAGGATCTCATCCAGAATTCCTTAAATGAATGGAAAGATTTCCGCTAGGTTCAGTCCAATTTGGGGAAGATCCTTGATAATTTTTCGTTTGTTTGTTTTTAGCAGATCAGGAAGGTGAATATATAATGAGTTGCAATAGGCGTGCTATTTGTCATTCCCCATGCTGTTTATAGAGGACAGCAAGCGCTGGAAGCTGCCTGAGCTGCCACATACATGGACATTGCAGTAAGTGTTTCATCTAACACCAGCAAGGAATTTTTCAGCAGAGTGAGTGGCCTGGGTACTGGGTGGATTCCAGCTAGCCTGCAGAATGGGTCCAGCACAACTGTGAACTGTCCTTAAAGATCCCTAGGCTGGAGAAGGTCGGATAGGCAAGTGATAGAAATCCAGAAGAGACTAGTGGCACTTTGGCTGCCAAGACCATCAAGAAGCCTGTGGGTGCAGACACGAATGGAGAAAGCTGGACTAGCTTTGTCGTGCGGGAGATGCACGGAAAGCAATCCACACAGGAAGAAATACTCAAGTGCACAAGTGGGAGAAGGGCCCAGAGGTCACGAAACAGACCAATGGCTGGGAATACAACAACCAGTCAGAGCCACCAATCTGGGACTGCTTTTAGGAGGGGAGGATGACGGTCACAGCAGCTAGTGTTGGTGCCACATACATCAGCCAGGGAGTATCTCCGCTGGTTTTATCTTGTGTTAAACTAGAGTCCTGCATCTGGCTTAGGCAAGAATCAAAGAAGGGGTGGGAGGCAGGAAAGCAACCACGAGTATTTTAAGAAACGCAACAACAACAAGAGGTTTGATAAGGCAGGGAGACAGCCAGCAATGTTTATTCCAGGATGACCGGCAAAATTAGTATATTCCATGGGAGGATAAAGGGATATTGTGGAGAGACTGAATAGAGACTCAGTAGTCACGAGGAAGAGATGACTTCATTTGGTTTCAAGTGTGATACGGAAAAACTTCTGCTAAATATTATGAAAAATATCAATCTTGATCATTTCCAAGCAAGCTGTCCCAGTGCATCCTTCTTAGAGGTAGCAAAAATAGACTATCTATCATACAGCTATGGATGAAAATGAATATATATATATATATATATATATCCATCTTATTCACATGAGTCCACAGTCTTCTGACCTAAGCTGATACTACAAGAAAGTCTGTGTCTCTGGGTTTATGCCGGAGTACCAGGGAGTACCAGAGGCTGTGAGATGCCAGGGCTTGAGGTTGATGATGTATCTGTGTCCAGTCACCAGCTTTCAAGTTGAAAGTAGGGAGCTGGCAGAGCAGAGGACTGTAATTCAGGTGCTGTAATTCACTGCAGCATTTAAACTTAGTGGCAGCAGCTCAGTTTGAGGATGCAGCAAAGGTGGTAGGTGAGGTGATGGGAATGCAGGTCCAGCAGCTGGAGTGCAGAGGGGAGAGGCCTGGTCAGAAGCCTGGGACGTGCAAGTCTGGTTACGATATATATATAACAAGACATGCTGAGCATTAACATTCACAAACATACAGCCTAACAGCAAGGCTGCAGTGGCAAACCCGAAGCACTTGGGAGCATTCACATCTAAGCTTAGCACTTCTACAAACGTTTCTTAGAATGAAGAACTCTGATGTGGTTCTTGCTGCAAAGTTTTTCCAAGAAAATCCTTTTGTGCTCAGAGCCAGCAAGAAGACACGAAATGCAGCTTCCCAACATGCAGGTGAGGAGATTGGCCACAGGCTTCTTCCCGCAAAGCAAGGGGAATGGGGTCCCCTCAATCCAGGTAGAGAGGAAGGGGGAATGTTCAGAGCAATCTCAGAAAGCTCCTGCACAGAGCACCACCTCCCTGTCCACAGGACAACTGGAGATGGTTCAAAGTGACTCTCTCTTGTCATGAATAAGGTGCCTTGTAAAAAGGTATTAAAAGGATAGAGTGAATTTACAGAAATTTGAGGGATGTGGGACAGATAGATAGAAAAACAAGCATAAAGTGCCATAAAGTGCCATGGGGACAAGCAGGAGGGTTCACTGAAAGAGGGGAGCTCTCCAAAGAAGGAAGCCTTCCCACCACCAACAGCTTCCAGCTCCTGTTTGTGGTTCTTGCTTTTACTCCCCAGTGAGTGCCTCAGACCAGAAATCATCAAGGTTAGAGGCCCGTGAATCTTATACTCCTCTCTCTCATATAACAGCAAGTTTCCTCACCCCCCAGAGATGGGATATGCAGCCAGTCATTGACCGAGCTCTTCAGAGGCAGGTAGGAAAGGCAGCTCTTGACTCAGTGCTTTAAGTCTCAGGACTCCTTCCTCCAAGTCGATGCAGCACTAAGAGGGGGAGAGCCAGTTACTCGCTGGACATTTCAGATAGCAGGTACCTCTGTCTTATGAAGCCCGTGACTGGAGAAAAGCTGGAAAATCACCAAACATCACCCTTGGGGTTTGGAGAGACCTCATAGCTCCTCCTCCCTGCAAAATTTCTACCTCCTGGCTCCGACTCCCTCCACTGAATTCCTATCCAAACCCTCCACAGGGCCATCCTGCTCCTGTCCTCCAGTTTTACTCCCTCCAGGGCCGTATCCTCACATAACACAGCTTTTCAGACAATGCTTTTCCTGCTTTATGAGCCCCAGCATGCGGCTGCATATTTGGCAGTCAGATGCAGGCCTGCTGGGGCTATGTTCCCTTCTGCCCAGGAGACAAGCTGGTCACAGCAGTAAACCCAGCCTGAGCTGACAAAATGCAAGGACTCTGCACCCGTGTCTGGTCCTTTTTCAGCACTGGGTGTGGCCATACAGCTTCATTTGGCTCAAAGCAAGGACAGTGCTTTTTCATGTCTACCTGCAAAAGGCAGGTTATAACTCAAGGGGCATATGGTTAGCTCTGATCTACAGGCTCTTCTTCCCCAGGTTGATCTTCTCATTTCTAACCACTGGGATCAGTGCACACTGCAGAGAGCCAGGCAGCTGTGCGGCAAGCAGTGCAAGTGGCACCTCAGAAGGCTTGAGCAGGAGCATTCCTGATGCTTCCAGCACCCAAACCTTGGAGGACTCACTGAGAGGAGCCCTGTGATAAGCAAGAGGAATAGTTCTTACCTTTAGCGACAACAGGGTCTGGAGACCAAAGGAAAACTCAAGCACTTCATCATCTGGGAAAAGAGGGGAGACTGGTCAGGAGAATATACCTAAAGAAAGTGGCTTCTTCCTATAAGATTAGGTGGAATTTGAGAGCATCTGATTTGTTAAGTTATTTGGTTAGGCATTATTCAGTATAAAACAAATAACAAATAACAAGGAAAGATGAGTTAAAGGCATGGACACATACATTAACGTGTGGTGACAGCAGTGGCTATAGCAAAGACTAGGACTTTTCCATGATGGGTCACTGAGCAATTAAAGGACCAGCTCAAGCACAACCTTGCAGAGGGTCAATATGAATTTTGTAAGTGATAAGAAGAGAAAAACATGATCACAATCAGTATTCTGATATATTTGAGGAGGCTTTTGGGTCTGTGTAAAACTGACTATGGGATATTGAAAGAGGCTTGTGGGGTTACAAGTTTAGGGGAAGGGCCAAAGTAGGGAAAGGGATGATCAAGGTGGATCAGGGAGGAACAAACATGGGGAAAATGAAGAAAGGGGCGATAACCGAGTTGGTCAAATGTAAGCAGGCTGCAATCAGTTCAGTTGTCTGGACTGAGTTCTCAGTATGTCCTTTTATTAGCTGTTTTTTTTTTAATCCCCTGAGTAATCTCACTCTCTATTCTGTAAGTGAGTATGCAAGGTCTGTGTGCCAGCAACTGAAGGCACTGGCACGCAGGAGGGATGGCAGCGCCAATAACTCGAGAGACTGTAAGTAATAAGATCATATAATATGTAGGTCTAGGTGTTGGCAACTGGAGAAGGCCCTGAAAGTCACACGGACAGTAGATGTGGGTGCCAGCAGCTGGAGAAGGAGCCATAGGTCACAAGGACCACAATGAGTCAGCAACCCGAGAGACCAGGGTGTATGTGTGAGAGGTCTAAATAGCAGCAACGGGAAGGGCCTGGGTGTGTTTATAATTTCGCAGTGAATTTAATGCTGTGTGGGTGCATATGCCCAGTTTCCTAGCAAACCTCAAGAGGGATTAGCTGGTGAGCAGGAGTACTGGATCTGGAAAAACTCACAGCCTGAGCCAGCAGCTGGGTAAATGTCCCTGTGTTGAAATATGAGTATTAGGCAGACCAAAAGATCATGCTAAGTTTTGAGGGATCTGTGAATGTGAGTGTTCCTGTGAATGTGGAAAACAAGTGTGTGTTTTTGACAGGGAACTTCAATCAGCCAGAGTGAAGGAAAGGGACTGAGCTACCTGTGCTAGTGTGTGTAGCGTGAGTGCAGTTCGTGGTTCAGGGAGTGCTGGTAAAGGCTCTGATCCATGGTGGTCTGTGTGGTGAGCCCTGTGAGTATCATCCATGTTTGTGCCTCTCAGGAATACACACTGAGCCTTGCTGCTGGCCAGACTTGCAAATTCAAGACAGCAGCAGCCACATCCATTGGATCCTGCATTTTTCTGCAGGCACCTGTAACATTCTTAATATCTCCCACAGTTCCTGCATGGCAGCTCACCTTGGAGCTGATGTCTGCATTTTATTCCACGTAAGCAAGAGAACTGTGTGTCAATTCTGAAATACAGACATGGCAGTATGCTCCTTCTGGGCAGCAATTTCCATTGCTGAGCACAATACATAGGTACTGAAATGGTAGATAAATTCACCTGTGTCAGCCCTAAAGTAGTTTTCCCACAAAGGACAAGTGCAAGTAGAGCAGGAATGATGGAAGGAGAGCGAGGGAAGGAGGAACTTCTCTCTAGATGTCTAGGAAACCAGGAAGAATGGACATGAAAGAGGAAGGAGGAAAGGGAGTCCCTGAAGATAAAAGAGTGAATAGTACTCATCAAAGAGGAGATGGATAAAGGCAACAGGGGATGGCTGGGTTGACTAAAGGGAAGAAAGGACGGGAAGAAAAGGGCCAGTAAGTTGTTTCCAGCATGCAGAGAGTATAATGTAAATGCAGACGGTTAAGTGTGCAGTTCTCTGGGTGTGCTCCTGTGCCTTGTCTTCTGCAGCTCTTTCCTCAAAAGTGTTTCACCTCAGGACATCTTGGGGATTCAGCAGTCCTCGGTTCTCCTAGGGCTCTCCGTGCAGCAGGGGCACGTGGGGACACAGAGGAACACCCTGGGGGACGAGCTGTACCCCTGTGGCCTGCAGCCAGCCAAGGGCATCATTCAGGTGACCAAGCCAAGGGCACAGGAGAACACAGCACATCCAGAGCACTAATGAAGCAGTCTGGAAGAGGTCCATTTTAAAAGCAAAATAAAATTTCCCACATCCTGGGTTACTACCAGAAAGCACCTCATTTCCGCCCCCTTTCAGGATCAGTCTCTCTTCTCCTTTGGTGACACTGAGAATATTCACAGCACATGAACTCTGTTAGCAGCACAGGTGACCACATCACCAACTTCCCACCACTGTTACCGTTTTCCTCACAGCTTCTTTTAAATGCCCTTAGCAGAGAGAAAGGGGCATGGGAAGGCTGGGAGAAAGGAAGGGTTGGTGCTCTCACCTACAACCAGTGCTGAGCACAACACTGTCTCCTGGCCAAGCTGCACCTCCAAGTGTTCTACTCGGCCAACAACGCTGGGGATGGGAAGACAGAGATCTCCACAGTCCATGGCAGACACTTCTTCTAGCCTGTGAGACACAAGAGGGGTTAGGCCTCAGCTGGAGGAAGAGGATGAAGAACAGGCCTTCTCACTTATTGCCAGCACTTTGTCGTCTCGCTGGGAGGAGGCTCAGAAGAGGAGGAACCTCATTCACACAGCAGGGATGTCTGGAGGTAGATTCTACAAGGCAAACCATAAGGCACTCTCCAGCTGAGCTTCTCACAACATCTGGTGACCATCAGCTGGTCCCCTTTGCCAGGTACTACACACAGCAAGAATGAAAAAACTCGGTGGAGCTGTTCTAGTCTGGGGGTGACACAGAACTTCTCCAGCGCTCCTGATGCCTGCCCTGTAGCCCACCCTCTGCATTGTTCTGAACAGCCATGTGCACATACAAAGCTGACAGACAATATTACTGGCACTGGGAATCGATGTAAGGATATGATCTGGAAATCAAGAGTGGAATCTCAGTGTCCAGGTCTTTGCCATAAGTTTTTTTGCTTTTATTTATTTGTTTATCTGTCCTTCCCTGCTGTGCAAAGACTTACCCCAGCTGTTTTAAACAGCGCTTGGAGATGAGATTTGGTTGACATCCTGTGTTAACAGTTGCTTTCAATACCTGACCTTGGCACTAGAAAAAAAAAAGAAACAAAAAAAACATATAACAACAGATTATTATGGTCTCAAAAGGGACATACCCACTCCTCCCATACTGTGACTGGCCCTTCCACCTTGTGTAGTAACACAGCCAAAGCCTTGGTGTTCAGGCAGTAGTCAGAAGGCAGGAGACCCAAGTCAATGTGGCTCCCTGATGCAAACTACTGCTACAGACTTCCTTTCAAATTTCTTGTCTTCTTTAAATTTTATTTGAATGCCTAGACATCTGTCTATTATTAGGAAGTTTAACATAACAGTATTCTGGTCGAAAGATGCATAGTTGGTGGGGGTTTTTTTGAGGGGGGAACCCATATGGACTTTATTAGTAGAACAGTAATTGATAAGAAATACAAGCATCTGTTTCAGTCTTTACATGTTTCCTCTCTCCATTTTCTTTAGTGTTGCAGGACAGAATGTTCCAGGGCTAGATATTTATTTTCAGGCCTTTGGGCTTCTGGCTTCCAGAGGGAGGTGTTTGTGGGAGAAATAGGAGCATTCTGGAAAAGCATCCTTGAGAAAAAAACTTCAAGCTTTGGCTTATCCAAATGATGCCCAATCTGAGTGACTACCTAATCAGGCAGTGGCTACTTTTGGGTGGGGCTTCCAGGCAGCTCTTGGAGGAAGATTGACACGAATGCTCCAGGGAAGCATTCACAACTAGTGTCATCTAGAGAAGGGAGAGAAAGGCAAAACCCTGCATGCTGCAGCGAAGTCACCACTGCATGATCATTCTGGAAGATGCCTTGCCCACTTGGTCTCTTCTCCTGAAAGGGAACAACAGGTGCTGTTACCACCAGTTTTCTGTCCCTTCTGCACAGAGGACCTTAGTGACAAGACGAGATGCTGAAGTAACAGCAGCTGTTGCATCTGGCAGAGGCCGAGGGTTGGCAAGGACATCATTAAGAAATCTGTACAGAAATTCTAATTCTAAATCCTAGGTGCCTGTTCCTTAGAAAACTTAGAAAATACTTAGGAAATAAAGTTGGGAACTTAGAAAAGAAACTGTAAAACATGGGGTAATTCCCAGGTAAACAATATGTTTGGCACATACCCATAGTGCATACCCATTTTTGATGGTCTGCTTCTTCAAGACTGTCTTACAGAAAAATGTAAATATCTGAACCTGGAGTTTCTGTCAGCGGAGGTTCATTTTCCTTCTGCTGTCATTAATATTTGCCTGTGATTCCTTCTCTTTCCTGCGCTGTCGAAGCCAGGGCCCTGGGCTAGTCACAAACAGCAGAATGCCACCACAGCCCCCCTACCTTTACGCTTACTCCCATCCAAAGCTTCAATACTTGAAACACGGTCAGCAGATCGGTATGGCCAGCAGAGACTCGGAGCACAGCATCAGTGAGGTCATGGGAAATATCTCTATTTCCTGAGTTATTAATTAATTTTATGATTTTTACATGGATTAAACACAGGACAGCAAACAGTAGTTCCAAGATTTCATTTTCAAAACTATGTCATTTGTGAGTTGTTGCAAAAGAAGGAGGAGAAAGCAGCTCCTGTGAGAAATATTGGACTGATGCAGAGATTACACCATCAGTAGCTTGAACACTAATTCACTTTGGTTCTGGTTTCTTCTCTTCTTTGGTCTGGTTCTTCTCTTGTTCCAAAGTAAACCAGAAATGGAGGTACTTTTCAACGCTAATTGATCCAAGGCAGCCTTAGACAGTTCATGCTAGAAACTTCAAGTCTGTTTTGCCTGGGAGCTTTTTATCTGATCTAAACTCAAAGGCACATCTGAAGTATATCAGTGTAGAGAATTTCACCTTTCCGAACATTTAAGTAAATCACATTCTCAGAAGAGCCACTTAGCGGAGAAATTTGTCACGCTTATAGTTGCATCATCACTGGAACTGGATAGCTCAGCCTATTGTGTCTGACACCAATTATATAAGACTTATATATGCAACACATATTTCTGATGCATATTCAAAGAACATTAGTGGATAAGCATTTACCACGTGTGGTGACATCTGGGAATGAGAAGTGTCCAGCTGAATCTATGCAGATGTATATTTTCAACAGGTCCTAATTTATTAATTATAGTTTGAGAGGGGTTGTTTGTTTGTTTGTTTTTAATTTTAAAAAGTTTGTTTTACTCCTAAAGAATTATGTTCAGGTCGAGCTTCCACTTGGGAACAAAAGTCATGAAGCTTTCAAGATAACCCCATTATCTCAACAGAGAGTGAAGACTGGGATGAAACACAATACTTCTACTTATAGCACTCAAAACCAATTATCACCTCTCATAGTATTTCTGCAATGCTTTTATTTTTCAGTTTGATTTACTAGCCTAAGTTAGCTAATAATCCCATGCGACTATAACCATTTATGATTCCTTAAAACACCCAAGCAAGCTGGGTATAATATTAAACAATTCAGCACGGTCAAAGCCAAGGCAATGCTCTCAAACCTCTCCCTGCCAGCACTGGGCCTTCCCCATTACGTTCCACCTGTCTCACAGTCTCAGCCACACTGGCAGCTACATTCTCTGTTTGCATCTGCAATACTACTCTTTAGCACATGGTACTGAAATTGCCAGAGTTGGGGCCCTGTCCTGCTTCCAATAGGAGCTACCCCATAGCCAGCAGTAAGCAATTCTCCAGCAGGCCCCTCTTGTCCTTCTAGTTAAAATGAACCTACTGCCTGTGGGTTCTACTTCTGGCTGTAGAGCCATCACTTACAGATGAGCTTTCTGAAGTTCACACGTGGAACATTACCATGAAAACCAGCAAGACTGAAGAGAAGGGGACACCAGCTTATCTTCCTTACATACTAGAAAACTGAAGTATGGCAAACTGGCTTGCTCTTAAATTGGACAGAGAAGGAGAGAAACAGTACTGAGCTTAGGGAGAGCTGAGTGCACATTAGACCTGTTACTTGTCTGTGCTGTCCAGCACACCCTCTTCTACGGAGGAAAATGTAATGTGTAGGAGAGCTGGGCATAGCCTGTTAGAAACACAGAATGGGAATAAGTAGTGGATTCTGATCCTAAGTTAATTACCCCTGGTATATTATACCTATGTTTGGCTATCTTTATATAATGTACATTCCTAGAAAAGCACATGCTTACTATTGAGTTTCCTCTTCATGAGAAATAGAGAGAATTGAGTAAAGAAAAGGAAATACCTTGATTTCCTCACAGAAGACTCCAGGTCCCTAGAGAAATTTGAGATCAGCTGAGATGATAGAGATCAATTTGAGATTGAGAAATCTGAACTGAGATCAATTCTGCAAGTCTGTTTTCCTACATGTAGTTATGCTGGCCTAACTACGTCAAGGGTTAAAACCCAGGATAAGCAATGCTTGCCTCCAACAGTAAAGCTGGAAAACAGACCAGTCAAGGGATTTGCATGATCCTGAAAGACTTGATCTGAATATGTCAGAATCTTTCCAGCACGCTTGTGCCAGCTGAATTTTCAAAGGCAGATATATTTTTGTTTCAAATGTAGAGGCTTTGCACGGTAACATGAGAGGTTTTATAGGACAGGTTACTGATATTAGCACAGCTGTAGATATATATGGCTTTTGTACACCAGGCCCATCTCTTGGTGAATCTAGTATCTTCAAATTACTGAACAGCTCTAATCATGGAGTACTGAAAGCAGTTTCATGGGGTCTAGCCACTGGACTTGCTCTGTTATATGCAAAGGGCAGAGAGGAGTGTGTTCTGCAATACAGGATAATGTAAGAGGAAAAGAAATAAAGGAGGAAAAGAGAAATATAAGAGGAAAAATACTGCTTCCATGGAGGAAATAGTGTTATCCCAGAACTCTGCTAGCCATTTTCTTAAGAGGTTCTGAAGAACCAGGGCAGGCAGGATCAGTTTTTGTAAATCATCTAGAGCAGCACTTGCCTTGAAGCGATAAGGAGACACTGTTTGCTCTTGCATTCTTCTGTATCTACTCTCAAGTGCATGGAACACCTCATGGAAATGCTTATTTCCAAAGGAAGGACATGTAACAAAGTTAATTTATCTTCAAATACATGGACAACTAGAATGTGATAGAAAGGCTTTCCTCTGTCTGTTGGAAAATCTGAAGCCAAGCTCCAGGAGAGGCCATGTGGAAAATCTACTGTCTCCAGGAGCAGAAGAGTGGCCCAGCTGGCACTGCAAATATTAACTGTAAGGTCATTTGCAATTGGAGCAACTGGAACTCACTGAGTATTTGCCGTCACTGTGCAATCAGCAGCACCATGTTGTTGCCTTACCTGACACTGTATTAGCAGGTGTGGAGTCTCTTTTCTCCTGTGCTCTCCCTTTTCCTTCTTTGCATCTTGGTCTTTTGCCAGCGGTGATTGAACCCATGCAGACTGAACCCTTGTCTCGCCCCGCAGCTTGGTCAGATTGCCCTCCACAAGGCGCCGCTGGACCACGCTGTGTGGCTGCTGTCTCCACCAGAAAGAAAGAGAAATCCCAGCTAAGTATAGACCTGAGCACTGGGATATTTGCTAGCCCGGGGAATCAGCCTGCAAGTGACCACCTGATGTAGGGCACAGTTATCCCAAGAAGCTTTTTTAAAATCCAAATATTTTTGGCAGCATCTGCGATTATGTTAAAGTTCTGTGACAGGCAGGTCTCTGGAGAGGGAGAACATGTCTGCTGCATGCTTTCCACCCACATGGCCATTCCTTCAGCCAAACAAAACACTCATCAGTCTCATAATTGTCCAAGTACTGCAATACACTACCTGATGTGTATGTGCCAACACTCAACCACAGTCCAACGTCAAAGGAGTCAGGGTGGGTGGCTGATGTACATGTATGTACATCATATGAAGCACGAATCCAGAAACTTTAGGTATACAAGGAATTACTTGGAGTGAAGCAGAATGTTTCCCCTGCATGGGAAACTAAATCCATCTTACAATAATCTTTGGAGCTTGTTTCTGCACCTCTCGATCCAAAATGCTACTGTTTGATGACCTTTGTAATAGTGAGGAGGGGGTCATCTGAAGCCCCATATTTTACACTGATGGAAGGAAGCCACCTCAGCCAGATCACTTGTTAAAGATCCGGCTTTATTCCAGTCACACTGAGCAGTAAGAGTTTCTTCTCCCTTTCTTCTAGGCAGAAGAAGGGAAGGTGCATCAAAAGGGAAGAAAAGGTAAAAACTTGCTTGCAACCATAGTTGCACATCACAGAAAAGTGTTGCTTTAGAAAGAAAGCTCATCATCATTTGATCATCACCATCATCTGGAAAGCGAGCATCATCAGATTGATGCTCAAGCTCTTATCCAGTGTTGATTCTGTTCCTCCACGTCCTGCACAGCTAACTGATTCAGCAGTGAGCACCAGAAATGAATTAGGCCTGTTGGAGGTAGCCTGGTCCATTCTCCAAGACTGGGCCCCATGGCCTTTCTGCAGGAGTTGACAATAAGATCTTCAGTAACAGTTGCATATGAGGCGAAGGGGCTAATGCGTGGCAACATAAACAGTTCTTATCTGCCTCAAAAAAAAAAAAAATGCTACATGATGCATGAGATTGCTATAATAGTTTATCAATGTGCAGGGCAAATGTGAGATAGAATAGACTAGCAATGAGCTGGGCTGTCATAATCCTACAGCGCATGTAAGCTTTTGACCAGCTTTGTGGCTGATCTGACTGACTGGAGCAGCAGAGCTATTGTAGGCTCTTTGGTCATACCTAGCGTGGCTCTAAGTAAGGTGCTAAGTCCCTTGTGCCTCTGTTTTCCTATCACTCAAGGGATGAGAGTCAGATCATGCATATCTGCATGAGAGACACATCAGGAGTTGAAAACTTGAAGCAAAAATATCCCTCTGCTCCTGTGGCCTCGTCCTTTCCCAGCCCACTGCACAAGTCCAAAGGACAGCTGGCTGTTTGACTTCGCTCCCTAAATACTCTGAGAACAGTGCCGGCTTGGTTGCCAGCTAACATCTGGGCATGGGAATAAGGTCAGGAGCTGACAGACGGTCTCCAAATTCTCATCCTCCCTCCACTGTCTCCTCTCACAGTCTGGCATACAAATGACATGACTCTCCCTGCAACCTTTCCCATGGAACAATCAGGACCTTTGAAGCTGCCATCTCTGTCCATTTTTCATCACTTAGGCTGGGAAGAACTGAGCTCTGGGACTGTGAGGGCATCTGTTCAAAGAGCAGCCTTCTGCCTCCCGCTCCATCTTTATCTCACCAAATAAAGTGGAGAGATAGAGAATGTTGTCTGCCTTTGGCTGACAGGAAATAGTGAGATCAAGAGGATAGTGAGAGGAGACTTCATCAGAGTTGCAGCAAGCGGCGAAGGGTCCCTATCAGGGCTTCTGAAAATGTCAGAGCAAATTCCCAGCACAACATGCCATGTTCAGACTCTCCCATGTAAAATGTCAAGGCATTGCTCTGACTTACTGAAACGATATGATCTAAAGATACTGACTTTGGGTGCAGAATAAGTCAGATCTTTGGGTCTTCTTATTAATTTCAGAATATTTTAGCTCATGCAGCTATTTTTTCCTTCCCTCTTTAAAAAAAATCTTACGCTTGTGGTTGTAAGAAAGTAGAAATGAATGTGAGTTTTTCCCTGAAATGTCTAATTCTCCATTTTTAGGAATGTGATGGGCCCCTAAAACCCATGAATGCATTGCATAAGCTGAATGCACAACTTGAACATGCAGAAAATGTATGTAAAATGGCAAAAAGTAACAGCCTGACTTTGTGTAAGAAAAAATATTGTTTATGAAATGGCACTCAGAATGATCATACTCTAATCTTAAGACATACTGGGCTGCCAAGGCGGGAGTCTCTAGTACCTAACCTGCCAGTGCAGACATGTTTGGGGGAATTAATAATCTCTTCTCCCCTGCAAGTGCTATTGGACTATGAGGTGTTCTGCACTGTCCCCAAGAACCACCTCTCCAGTACTTCCTACTGCTGTTCTGCTTTCCTATCATCTCAGGGGTAGCAGTAATAAATTAGGAAGTAGAGATCGGGTTTTGCATGGAGCTGGAGGACTGCCTGAGAGCACATTTTTTGTTATCAGTATAGTCTAAGACAGTGTCCACTGCCTTTTATCATTCCTACAGGACACACTAGGGTCATGGCAGAACTAGACCAGCATAAGGGTCCAATTCTATTTCTCTTTCTGAAACAGGTCTGTGAAGTGACCTTGGACAACTTTCTTTACTTTCACATGCTCTCTGTAAAATGGGGACAAAATATGAATCTTTCTTATAAAGCCTGAAGGCATCAACATACAAAGTTGTTTTCTGATTCGAATCCCCCCAAGTGTCACAGTAATACTACAGTGGCCCATAAAGTATCAGGGAGTGCTTAATGCAGCACATTCTTTTTGGAAATCTGAGGTCTGGTTCTTCTCTTGTTCCGAAATAAACCAGAAATGGAGGTACCAGAGCTCCCACATTCACCTATGTGTGTGAACTTCCTCAAGTGCCTTTGTGCCTTCTGAAACTGAGGCAAAATTTCCATGGCAAAGAAAAAAGATGCTCTACCTCATTCAATGTTCCTTAGCTCCATGACAAAAAGCTTCCAGTCATTCTTTTATGGAACATGCATGACACAGACTGTGATTCTGAGAGACCAAACACTGTTTACATATAGGGAATTCATTAAAAAAGAACCTGTAGAACTGTTCATAACAAAAGATTCTTATAGGGCCTCTCTTAGGTTGCTCAAGAATACTGACTGTCAGCTTCTTAAGGTCAGAGACTATGAGTTCCTGTAATATACAGCAGCTGCGGTACAAAAAGGCCTGAAAAGGTACAAAGGCCTTTGGCTGGCACAACAGTTTCATTTTGGAGACATGGTGTGATAGGAGCCAATATCAAAGCAAAGCAGGCAGCATTATTTCTGTCTAGTTTTGTGACTAGGCTCAGAAAGCTCACAAAGACCAAAAGGTGCCCTACCTGCTGAAAACTGTACAACCACAAGCCTTGGGCTGTGTCCAAATATCTACTCCCCAAGCTGATTTTTTCGCTGCGTGGCATGGAGGGTGAGTGCTGGTCTGTCTGCCAGCCTGGGTGGGCTCTTTCAGACCCAGATGGGGTCTGACCTACTTCCCTGCAGTGCGGAGATTTGCGAAGAGGCCTGCTCCTTGCTAACAGGCCATGTTTACAACTTCCCCATTAGACTTCAGGCGATGACTACACTCAGCCCCAGAGGGACACTGACAACCAGCTTCTGCTGAAAGCTGTGGGTGCTGCTGACAAGGCCTGGGAGGTCACGGGGTGAAGTCTCAGGGTGGCTTTGAGGAGTCACCCTTGTCCCTGTGTGACCAAGGAATTTCCATACTAGCTGGGGCAGCCCTGGGAAGAGCAGGGGAGCGTGTGGTCACGGACACCTAGGGCCCAAGGTTGATCACAGCAAAACCACTAAGTCCCACAGGTTTCAGGAAGAAGCAAAGAGGGTAATTTCCCTTCAGGCCCAAATGCCGGGAACCTGCCTGTCCTTTTAATTCGTGCCGCAGCATCAGGCGGTGCCTGACGGCAGGCAATGGTGAGGCCCGCAAAGTGGGCAAAGAAAGCAGAGGCAAAATGCCCTGAGCCACATCATACACACACACAAGCAACCTTGTTGTTGTTGTTGTAATGATCTAAAGCTACAGAGGGAAGTGCTGCTTATAGGGAGGGGCAAAACCTTTCACGACACAGCTGGAATAAATGGTTGAGCTTTCAGCCACAGAGGCTGTCCCTGATCAACCCTGTCCCTAGCTGAGGGGCCTGGGCTGCCACTTAGGAACATCCATGCACCCTGCACTCACCAGGGGAATGCCTCCGAACCACTTGTACTTGGTTTGTTGGTCCACATTTAAAAATAAGGAACTTCTACTAGAGCAGCAAGGCAGTGCAGTACAGATTGAGCAGAAGAGAGCCTGAGGCAGTCATACTGTCTTTGGAGAAAAGAGTTTAAACCTCCCACATCCTTGAGAAGTTATACCCCACAGTGGAGAGGAGAAGTGAGAGGTATAAAAAAGCCAGAACATGTAAGGAAGAGGGAGATGTGTCCAGAAAGAAATTCCACAGGAAATGGTTGCCTCTCATGTCACGTGTCCTCGGTAAAGTTTGCCCTGACGACAGATTCTCCTCAGATTTCTGGATCAAATCCCCTGCCTGATGCTTAGCATTTCCATAGGGAGACACCCATGGACCTTGTTTCCATGCTTTCTCCCCCAAAATGTCACCAATAGGTGCTGAACACTACTGTTACTAACACAACACAGCTAGAAGTCCTATCCTGTATTTATCCTTCTGGAAGTAGGTAAAAGAAAACTCAAAGACTAGAGGAAAGGAGAATAACCAATTTCAAATATAAACACCTCAAAGTTTCAGGAACTGTCCCTCTTTTCCTGCTCCTTCACACTGAGTGAAGGAAGGAGTGGGTCTGCTTTTGAGGTATATTTTGCAGGAGTACGTGTGGGCTTTCAGGGGCATCCCACATGGAAATATACATATCAGATGAATGTATTTATGCACTGTGCAAGTTGAAAGTTAGATCCTTCCACTCTCTATCTGCCTGCCTCTGTGCTTAGGCCCGGTAGGAAAGCATAGACATGCAAAAAAAATGGGAGACTTGTCCTTTCCTTTTTCCCAGACCTGTTCCTAAATGATGCTGAGGAGCGGTTTTGTCTTTGCTGGACCTGTGACTCTTTGCCAAACCTGGCAGAAGGCAATTCTGAATGCTGTCTGGAAGTAGGGAACGTTAGGATGTGGACCCACTCCCAAATGGGATCCCCTTGAACTCACCAGATCCTTGGAGGTACCAAGCCTCGTCAAACCGTCCAGGGGAAGCAGGTCAGCAGAGTCCTTGTGCACAAATTGTGTGGCCTGTTTAAGACGCCTTTTTTGTTGCAGAATAGCTTTGTTCCTCAGCTCCAGCTCACACTCCTGAGGCTGCAGGTCTGGAGTGCCCTCACTCTCCTTCTCCTCTCCATCTCCTTGTCCCTGTGTTAGAGGGCAGCTCTTCCGCGTGCTCATGGTGATGACTCGGACAGACAGCTCCTTCCTGAGGTGATGGGGTGCACTTGTCTCCAGATGTCTGCTCTCCTGAGGCCGACTCAGTCGCAGAGCACTCTTCCCACAGCACTCCTTTTCTCCCTTTCTCTGGCTTTCGTCCTTCTCTCTTAGCTATAACTCATCCATCTCGGAAGCATCTCTTTCTGCCTCTGCTCTCTCCAGCATCCCAGCTTCCCGTTGCTCCCCTCCTTTTCCCCTCCCTCTCTTCCCCTGCCCTGACTGCAGCTCTGCCTCCTCCAGTCAGTAGGTCCCTGTCGTAACAGAAAAAGCGCCCTACGTCAGAAACCGATTTCCATAAATTACAGCAGTGCCGGCAGGATGCTCCGGCTGGAAAAATCCAGCAGCAGAAGGATGGCCCTGCTGCTGGGGGCTGGACTTACCTCCCTCTGTCCGTGCATTTGTGTGTGTCAGAGTGAGTGTGTGTGCACGCACGCTGCTGTGACCCCGCCATTACACTGAGGAGAGAGCAGATCTCGCTGCTGCGGCCTCTGCGGCTCGGGATCCCTCCGGGGGGGCTTTGATGCATTCCAAAAAGCCTGTAAATACCAGCTAGAACATCTACAACATGATGCAGTGCTTCGGTAAATGGGAGAGAAGGTTTGCTCCAAGGTTTCTGGTAGGCATGCCCAGTCTCATTCCTGTGGAGAGTGGCACGTATTTGGGATAGGCTGTGCTGAGAGGTCTTACTGTGCGGCTCGAAATGCAGAAGGCTGCTTATTATCCTGCCCAGTGCAAGTGCACTAGGCCTGACTCTGCTCTTACTTCCACTGCAACGTAACTCCACTGAAGCTGCACGAGTTTAAAATCGCTGTTTGGCTTGTAGATATCCGTGGCCCTGGCTCTCCACATTTATCCTGGAAGTACCCTGAAATTGCTGCAGCGTGGGAGGTAGCCTGTGGTCTAGCTCAGGGGAAAGGGGCCTTGGCAGAACTACGTTTTTCAGCTTTCTGCCTCCAGAGCATCCTTTTGCTTGAAACCACAGCTGCAGGTTGCTTTGTTTTGGTATCTTTTCATTGTTGAATGCAGTACCTTGGGAGACACCGATTCTGGTGTTATATACAGAGAGGGGTACTGACTTTTCATCAACTATTCCGCTAAGGACAAACAAGCTTTACATAAGTGACGGCTGGCTTGAGTAAACTGGGAGTGAAATCACTTTGGTGTATGTACATAGAAGAAATAACAGCAGCAGGATATGAAAGTTAAAGCAAAAGGAGGCTTTCTATTATTCCATAATTACTATATTTTTTCCAGCTTAGCGATATGCAACATTCCAACATTACTCATAAAACTTACTTCCTGTGTTTTGAACTGTATTTAAAATATAGCAATGGGTTTACAATACTAGGAAGTAAACTGAATAGTCCATGCATCTATCAAGTGAGCCACTCTGAGACTTCACTGGGGTGGCAGAAACAGCAAAATGAGGTAGCTGGGTTCAGTGCAAAGCAAAAATAATCCCTTTTACTCCCTGCTGATCATCACAAGCTTAGCAGGAGTTAGGAGTTGATCCTCAAACAGTATAAAAGAGGCATCCCAATTTTGGAGTTATTTTAAAATTTGAACTGCTTAATCTCTTTTTTTTTTTGTTTTCCTGTATGCTAACTGCTGTAGACAGAGCATTGCAGTTTCCACGGCACCAACTTGCAGAACTAGATTTGACAGGTTAGAAATAGATTCCAGCTGCTTCTCATGGCCAACTCCCTTCCTCCTAGCGCAGGCAGAGTCCCTTCAGACTCCCTAGAGCTGTTCTTTATCTGCTCTTGTGTCTCTGCAAACAGAATTAAGCAGGGGAAGCGGGGCAGGGAGGGAGGGGGAAAGGGAGGGGAAGCGGATGGCAGAAGGGAAGGGGACGAATGGGTATTCCCAAGGAAACCACATTCCCATGGTGTTGTTTTCTTGCACCTATGTTGTCAAGACTCCTGATCTACACACGTTTGTGGCCTCTTGCAGCCTCACTGAGCATCCCCTCAGCCTATTCCTGAGGCCATTAACCATCCCTGTGAACCAGCACTGAATCATACACCTCTACTGTCATGCAAGGCCCAGCTATTTCCCCTTGTGCACCTTGTAAATGCCTCAGCGTGCCAGCCCTGAGGAGGCAGCTCTGTGTCTGCCAGCAGCAGCTACAGTGACAGTTTTCTTAAAGATTTATAGCATATCTGAAAACAAAAAAATAGAACAGATCACCTTAGGGCCATATCTCCTATAGGCCCTGAAAACCTCTGGAACGCTTGTTGTGGGTAAGCCCACCCTAATCACTTGCTCTTGCTCTGCGCTTTGGCAAACCTCAGTCCAAGCTGGTTTGCGTCCTTGCGGTGCTGGAGCTCTTGTTTGGACAGTTCTGCTTTACAGTCTGACCAGCTAATCCAGGCTCCTACTTCAAAAACCATTTTTCTCCCAGCCCAATGGGGAAAAATCTTCAAATGTTTTTTAAGGCTTTCTCCCCTCCATTCTTCTGCATCCAAGTGCAGCTCATTGACTCTTTGGATCCTGTAATATGACAGTTCCCAGATATGGGGAAAAAAAAAAAAAAAAAGGAGAAATAAAAAAAAAAGTCATAGAGGTGGGGCCAGTTGAGATAACATCTTCTTTAAAAGGAATTATGAGTTTGATGTCACTGGCTTTTTCTGTTTAGCAAGTAATCACTTTCTCCATACTGTTCTTCCTAAACAGAGTCAGTTTATTAAGTAGGTTAGAAGCTTTCAGCTTTTTCCTGTCATTACGTCAGAAAGTAGAACAGTTGGTCTGATTAGGTAATATAGGTCAAATCTCCATGGCCAACTGCCTTATGAAGACAATGTGGCAGAGCTGGTAACATGCAGTCGAGCATGAATCCACCCTGATGTTTAAGTATTGCTTGAAAATATTTTTGTTCAATTTATATAGGTTTTATAGACTTGAGATAAGCTGCATACAAAGAAGCACTCTCTTTTTGCATAGCAGCAAAGCTATGCTTTGATTGAAATAGCTGGCCTTACTACAGAACAGATGCCTGTCATGCAGCAGGAAATACATTTTTTTCCCCTGCTCAATTTATGGCTACATTAATTTCACTAGATATTTTTAGCTTTATTTTTGCAGAGAAAGAATATCCACTTTTACTACAGAGTGCTAATGCACATAACAATTATAATAGCCTTGCTTATGCTAGAGCTTCTCTGTGCTGCTGAGCACGTTTAAAGTAAAAAATGATTGCTAGGATGCAAGAGTCCAAGAGGAACAACAGTTGTGTACTCAAGATGAGTCGCCCAGGACCTGGGGATGTGCATTCAGCTGCAAGGATGTCCTTTCGGTGCACCTTGAAATAATTGCTTTCATTTCACTGCCCCTCAGCTTCTCATATATGGGGAGAGTAGTATTTCCTTTATCCACTTAGCTTGAGCCAAAGAATGCATTTGTTCCTAGCACAAATAGGTTTATATGTGCTGCTATAATAGTAAATATATGTGGGGTTTTTTTTCTATCTATCTAACTATATCCTTAAGGCTCCTGTCAAAGGATGTCCTCAAAGCTGAATACCCAAACAGCAAAAATAAGCACTGTTCAAGTTGCCTCAGCAAACACAATTCAATGTGCATATGTGCAAGCTAATTGCCCAACCTGGAGTCTTGTCATGGTGCTTTGAGTGGCTGTCTATGGGCTTTCTGACAAAACTTTATTATTTTTTCAGTTATAAGAACAACAGAAGCGAAGAAATAAGACAACCGCCTATACAATTTTGCCCCATGCAATAGTCACCTGTGTAACCAGAGCAGATCTTGTCCTGCTGAAAATAATGGACTCATTAAGCCCAGATACCCCAGAAGGTAGAGGATTTCTCCTTTGGCTGTGCTTTGACCCCAGTTTACTTTTCTTGGGTTATAGATTTTACTATTAAGGTCTCCCAGCAGGAGTTGTAGAAAATTCCCATTAGCGTTTGCTAGGTCCAGTGTAATGTTTCTTGTCATATTCGCTTGTTAATAGCTTTCTTTATATCATAAAGACATAAATACCACTCAGTCTTCATCAATTGGCATCATACCTTGCTGAAATTAATTATAATGGCCTAAACCTGTGTATCTGTCAGTGTGCGCAGTCAGTCTAATCCGTGTGGATTCGTGTCCAGGGCTCCTTTGTGGCTGCTGCAGTGTGATGCTCTTGCAGCTCTTGGACTGGAGCAGTCGCAGCTGACTCCCTGAACGGGTGTTGCAGCTCACAAATGCTGAGGCAATGGCTCAGGCAGACTTTCGCTTAGAAATGCAGCGAGCCAAGTGCCAGTGCCCTCTGCTAACTCTTTAAAGACACGACTGCTCACTCTTGGGAATTGTTCTTCAACAAGAACAGCAGCACTCCAGTTCTCCTTAGTGACTTTTCACGTTACGTTCTCTCCTTGATAGTAGGTGCATGGCACTTGGCTTATCCCTAAAAAAGCTAATCAAATCCAGGCCTGACAACAGTGTTTATGTGCTGCTCTGCAGTGCCTGAGCACTTTGCAACAACTCTAATAGTAAGGGCTGTTGTCTCAGTGACCCGGTATTCTTTTGAAGTAGTCTTTCTGTAAGTTATCACTTGAGCTCCTTGTGACATGCTGAACTGTTACCTACACAGGAATTAGTGATGTGCTTCAACAGAGGAGTCCTTCACAGCTTTTTTTTTGGACAGCAAATACTTAAAACCTCTGCATTCAGCTTGCAATGGGTAGGGGCATTACCTACTCCTCATGTCCTCTTCATTTTGCCCACAGGATGGTCTCTTACTTCTCTTCTGGCTCCTAGCTGCATTCAAGCCAACTTTTTTCCCTGTAAAGATCTTTATTTCCATCATGGCTACCTCACCTCCAGCAGAAAACTCAGATACAGGAAAGAACTCATACTCTTGTGCTCAGCTCCTTGACAGCCAGGAAGAAGGTGTTCAGAAAGGAATCTCTGTAGGCTCATAGAATCACAAAATGGTTGAGACTGGAAGGTCTGGAGATCACCTAGTCCAAGCAAGGTCACCTAGAGCAGGTTCCCCAGGCTTTTAGATATTTCCAAGGATGGAAACTCCACAACAATATCCTGTGGTCTAAATTGAGATTATGATCTCTTGCTTGTACACTATTGTCACTATTGGTGTTGCTCTAGGCTCTTATATAGCCTCACTGTAGCACCGGCTAAAAGGGTTCC